CTAGGGGCTACCAGCAGACCCCTGTCCCCTGGCACTGATTGTATCTCCTGAACAATAGCACCTGGTTCAGGACATGAGCCCTCTGTGGATGTGCCACTTCGTTCTGTCTGTACTGACAAGTGTTCCTTGCTAGGTTGCAAGCCCACCAGTAGTCACATGGGCCTACCAGAGTCTACTAGGCCTGAGCCATCTTCAAATTTATAATGAATAAGAAATTGCTTTACAGGTTGATTGTATCAATTCCTTAACACCTTGTATAAACAACTTGAATTGCTCCTAGAAGGTAATAACAAGCTAGTGCAGTCACTGGTATACAGTGGGATGCTCATAACTGGCCACCTACACTGGGATATTGGCTGTACCAAGAGATATCATTGCAGGAAGTCTCCTCACAGAGTTTTTGCTTAGCTGTCTAGCTCTATGCTCAGAAGAGCTTCACTCACACTTTTAATTTGGGCATAAGCAAGGTAATCTTGCTTCCATATTTACCTTTGTCTGTAAATATTTTTCTCTTCGGTTTCTTTTTCTGTTTAACAGATTACAGTATCTACAAAACACACCCTCCATTCATTTTCCCAGCTAACTATTTTGGCATGGAAAATAAGAACTTCTTTTTTGAAATTCTTTACAGCAACATACATTTATGCAGTGAAAAATAATATCTCTTCTCTCCAGCCCTGCAGCCAGACTTGTGCACTGCATTCCATCTACACACTGCCTCCCCCATTTCAGTAGAATTCATCTTTCCAGTTTGCTTGTGCTCTCTGGCTCTCTTCCTTTAACTTACATAGTTCCTCTGCTATGTTAATTGCAAGAATCAGGTTTCCTTGTGTTGAAGTACTTTCACTCTCCAACCTCAGAACTTCTGAACAAAGAAACCATTAACACATATGGTAACAAATTGTCATATGAATTTGATGGATTGTCCTCACAGGAAGCACCAAAATCAGATCTTCGGTATCTCTAGTGGAGTGTTGGTCAAAAAGCTTTCACTCTGTTTCCATTCCAATTTGTATAATTTTTCCTGCCTCTTCTTTTTTGAAATTATCAAAATGTGAATGGTCAATATCTAGGTCAGGGGTCTCAAACTCGCAGCCCGCGGGCCAATTGCCGGGACGGGCGGGGCATGGGGGAGGGGTCCTGCGGCCTTCAAAGTGCTGGCGGCGCCCGGGCCGGCCGCGGGATGAGCGGCCCACCACCACCGTGGTGGTGGAATACTTGATGCGGCCCAGCCTCACCCAGACTCTACTTCCAGCGGCCCCCAGGTCAGTTGAGTTTGAGACCCCTGATCTAGGTCAAAGTATAGAAGAATTGGAAAAATCTTCTAAAGGTTATCTGATGTGTACTTAGCTTAGCTAAGATGTCAACTTAGCTATTTTGCACTGTTTTGTTTGGTCTACCCATTATAATATCTTCAATTCTAGTTCACAGTTTCAAGCAGTTAGAGGCCACAATTAGAGATGACAGTGGACAATTGAAGGACTTTATGTTTAAATCCTCAGTTGTGAAGGTGGGAGGTCCATTTTTTCAAAAGCAAAAAGGCATTAAATTTAGTTTTAGTTTTATTAGTTGGGTGGTACATTGATGTACATTAATGTACTGCCCAACAGTCAACACTTTCTTGAAGACTCACAAAACATGAAAACCTTAAAAATAGAGTGTAAATCATAAGATGAAAACTATTTAGATACAAAATGAAGTACATAATAAGATAGACTAAAGGAAGAGTATTAAACCTTCTTCTTCCAATTGCTTGTCTGCCAGAAATTCCAGAAATCAGGGATTACAGTGCCAGACTTCTGCTGAGATGTGCACCAGCAAATGAGCTAACCAGGTCAGCCAAAGCCTGATCAGTGTGGTATAGTGGTTAAGTGTGTAGGGCAGGGATTCAAGGTTCTAGTCCCCTTTCAGCCATGGAGACAGTTGAGTGACTTTGGTCCAGTCACAGACTTTAAGCCCAACCTACCTCACAAAGTTGTTGCAGGGATATGATTCAGAGCAGGGGGAGGAGTATTATAAAAACCTTTCTGAGTTCTTTGTAAGAAAAAGGGTGAGATATAAATCTAATAAATAAAACCAACTCAGTCCTCAGAGCACAATGAGGGAAACCTTAGTTTGTGCTTCATGAGGAGCTTCGTCAGCCTCACCTGGGGTCCCCACTCCGCCTGCAGTTCCCTTTTCCAGGTGGGTGGATACATCTTCCCTGCCTGGCTCTTTGCTTGCTTTCTCTTTTACCCACCTGTGGGCACAGGTGAAAGCAGTGGCTTCTGCTGCTGTGGCTCTTTCTCACTTCCAGTGCCTGCTTCTTCTCTTCCTCCTTCCATTCCACTCTCCTTGTGGCTACTAGTTTCTTACCAGCCTGAGAGTTCTTTCAGTTATCTGTCTGCTAGGCTCAGGGAGAAAGTGGCAGCTGCTGTTCCTTCTTGCTGCTGCCTGTGACTCTTTTGGTCCAAAGCAGGGAAATGGCTGGTTTGGCTGCAATTATTAGCTGGAGCTTGTCAGCCTGAGTGAAGTTCACTTGGCCAAAGGCCCACAAAAGGCCAAAGACTGCCTTGCTCGAAGCATTACCCAAAAAGTACCTTTTTTGCCAGCCTGACTCGGTTTCATAATAGGCTATGGAAAAAGTGAAGTTGGAGACCAGTCTTCAAGGAGGTAAACCATGGGCCGCGGGGGGGGGGGGGGGTACTCCTCATCCTCAGATAACTTTTGCTTTTTAAATGGAACCCAGCACTACCAGGTTGGGGAAGCAAATCCAAGTTTAGCCATACAGATCTTCCTCTAACCCCTCTCCCACTACTTTCTCACTCTTCTAGTTGGCCTTGGTTCTGAAGTGAAGCATTTGTTATTTACTCATATTCCTATTTTTGATGTTTTCCTAAGCAACATTTCTGTCCCTAAATGTGATCTAAATATTATTCATGATGCTTTTCCATCATATATTTTGCTTTATGGTGTGCCTTTGTGACTGGCAGTCACTGTTAGACAGGTTTCAATGGCTTTTTGTTCACAATTCTTCCAAGAAGTCAGTTGGGGAGGATGAGGTGAATAAGTGTTTATATAAAGATCATAATATTGAGAATTATCATGGAGATATGTGTCAAACTTTAAAAGGTTTTCCTTTTAATTCAGCTTGAAGGAGTACTTATTTTATGAAACTTTTGTGGTTTGAGAGAGACATTTTTCTGTGATTAGTCTAAAGACGCCTTTTAAAAATGTCTGTGAATATGGAAAATGGAAAATATCTTTCATGTTTTAAATACTAGAAGAACAACATGATCTAAGCATTTTATGTTTCTTGAGAAGGCTCCCCAAATAAAGTGCTTGGATGTTTTATATTTATTGATTTTAAAATTTCTACAGCCTACCTTTCCATGACAGGTGACTGATTATATGTAAGCCTCTTTGGGAACCTTTTTGGCCAAGGAATGAGATGAAAATACTTTAAATAAAGACAGTGGCAAAGTCAAATTCCATGTCTTTGCTTTTTAAACATCTCAAGTTTATCTTGTTATTAATTTAATTTCTGTATTTCCCAAAAGCCAAAGCTGTCTGGGTGGTGCACAACTGTTTTGTTCAAGACTGCCCCTTCCCTCTTCTACCTCCCTTCATCCCTGTACACTGATTTTTACTGCTCCAGTCATCTTTTATTGACACTGAATTCTCCATTCAGTGTGAGTAATCAATCTCTCACCAGTGAAGAGAACACTTGTTAAATTCTGGAGATAAATCTGAAGCCAGTATGAGTCTTGAATTTCTGCCCTTTCCCTGGTACTGCTGAAGAAAGAAACCAATGAAGAAATGGGCTATACTGTGGTTAAATAAACTCTTTATCTTTTGAGTTGCATGACCTGTTTAAGAGTAATGGTTCTTTAGGTCAGATGGTCAGGAGGTAATACATTCAGATAAATCTGTAGCTGCATTGTATATTTATAATTGCGCCCTGCATTAAGGGGAAGAGCAGAATTATGTACATGCACTTGACAGTCTTTCTGGATTGAGATCTCTCTTTGAACTGTAATAAATGAACAGGCCCAAAGGTTCATGTGGATGCACATGGAACCATTTGGAAATTTAACATGAATTTCAAGTTATAAATTTGTCCCATATGGGCCTATTATTACTACTAGTAGTAGTAGTAGTAGTGCTTCTTAACTGCAAAGTTTGAATCACAGTGAGGCTACTAGAGTTACCTTTGCTTACATCTAGCGTGTGTGTGGTAAGCATTCTTTGTGCTGCTTGAAGTTGAAGTCACAAATCAGTTCCTAGAAACCCTGGCCACAATCCAGAGGGACACATTTATGGATTTTACTGGATATCAAGTTGCCTTTGACATGGTGCATGTTGGGGTCAGCAGCTGAGGAGAGCTTCTCAGTGAAGTCAGTCTACGTAAAATAATTCTTGTACCCACCTCACTATGTATATATAAATGCAGTGATACAGCTTGTGGAACAGCAACATTTTGCTTATATATGACACTCGCTAAATGGAAGAACTATTTTACTTATCTGATTTTAATGGTTTGGTGAGATTGCAGTTGTTGTAACCAGTATTGTTATTGCTTCCCTTTGTTTCTCACATATTTTGCCAGAGTTTTGTATCTAACAAAGCCTTTGTATTCCCCCACCCAAGAATTGCAGGGATCCACTATTCCATTATCTGCTAATTTTCTCTTTCATAGGAACTTTTTGTGTTGTTTTTTTCAAAATGCCCATTGAATCTGGCCTGAACATCTGTTCTTCAAATAATAGACGTATTACCTTTTTTAAATTGTCCATTTAGGTACAACTAAGTAATGCAAGAAGATGCTTTGTAGCAGTTCAAAGATCAGTGGAAAGCTTTTGCACCAGAATTTTATGATAGTTGTTTTTGCTTTAAAAACAATAGCTGCAGGCTGAAGCAGAACTTGTCTTCTGTAGCCTGTACTTCACCAGACCAAGGGCTAAAATAAAGCAAATGATTTTTTCTTAAATGAAACAATATTCTGTGGGGTTTTTTTTCAGGTTCGAGAACTGCAGACACGTTTACAAAGTGTCCAGGCAACTGGCCCTTCAAGTCCCAGTCGTCTCACTCCTGCAAACCGTCCCATTAACCCTAGCACTGGAGAACTGAGCACAAGTAGCAGCAGTAATGACATTCCCATTGCCAAGGTGAGCCCTTGTACATTGTCACTGTGCCTCTCATTATCTGGAAGAAGCAGTGTTTGCTGTGCACAGCTGTACAGGCATACAATTAACTGGGAAGTATCAGCCAGAGTGCCTGGGGAATTTTCAAGTATCCTAAGTGAGCCTACAAACTCGAGCTGCAGAGAGAGATAAAGTGCTCAGGATTTTAAGCCTCTCTTCATCACAACAGACATGCCAGTTTATTAATCAATTTAACATAGAATTTCCAAACACGGGGAATGGTGAAAAGTGGACGGGGCCAGTATTTTACATAGATATACAAAGCTACACACAGCACATACTTCATTAATTGTTGTGATGGGGTTTCCTCCATTTCTAGATTGCAGAACGAGTAAAACTCTCAAAGACAAGGTCAGAATCTTCAACATCTGATCGCCCTGTCCTGGGATCAGAAATCAGCAGCATAGGGGTGAGTGTTAATAATCAGAAGAGGTATATGTTTAGTAACATGTTGCTGGTTAGGATCAAGCGTGCTTGTAATTTGCAGCTACAGAAACTGCCTTCATCTTGAAGCAAATACAAATGTTACAGGTTTAGGATCCTTGGTTTTAAATTGTGTGGATCTTTTTTATTTGTACCCTACATTCCTACCAAAAATGGCACTCAGTGCATCCACTCAGTGCAGCTCACACAAACTGCTGCCACTGTACTATTATTATTATTACATTGCCTTAAATCCCACCTTTTTTGTAAGAAACACAAGGCAACCTACATAGCTCTATTTTATTCTCACAACAGCAGTCCTGTGAGGTAAGTTAGGCTGGGAGTGACTGGCCCAGTCATTCAGTGAACTTCATGGCCAAGTGAGAACTTGAAGAGCCAGTGTGGTGTAGTGGTTAAGAGCATGGGACTGGGACTCAGGCGATCTGGGATCTAGTCCTTGCTCAACCATGGAGCCAACTGGATGACTTTGCGCCAGTCACAGACTCTCAGCCCAACCTACCTCACAGGGTTGTTGTTGTGGGGATAAGATGGAGGAGGAAAATGATGTAAGCTGCCTTGAGCCCTTTGTAGGAAAAAGGCAGGATATAAATCAGATAAATAAATAAACCTGGATCTTCCAGGTCACCAGTCCATCACTCTAACCAATACACCACTTCTAATTTAAGTTAAACTGTTAATTTATGAAAATATGCATATATTCACTGTATAAACCCTTGCTTTCAAGTATGTGAGAAGAATACCTTCTCATTCTTCAGAATAGAGTTGCCAAATTTTGTACAGATCATATGTAATATGGAATATGCAAAATTATGCATTTAGTTTCTGTAGCAAAAGTTCATAACTCATTTTTCCTCAGTGTGCATGCATGTACACATATGTATCTGCATAAGCAAGCACATTAGCACTGTAGCTTTAAAATATATAATTCAGCCGGTTAACTACAGTCTAATCAACAAGGATAAAACCCTTGCCTAATTCTGCTGACATTAGCAGGATACCAAACAATAACTAAAAATTAAAATGGATTACACATCCATTAGAGAAAACATTCTGATTTTTCATATTTCTTTAGTGTAGAACTTTCCTAATTAGGTTTTTGTTCCAGTATTTTACTGGGATAAGAAGCAGCAGCATCACTAGGGGTTGTCTTCAGGGTTTTCTTTTTTTAGAAACAATTTTCCAAGCATACTGCTCAGAAAACACTGCTCATCAAAAACTGCTGTGAGGTTCCCTATCCTTGTTTTAACACCACAGTACACCAACCTGGTTCAATTTACCAAGGGTTAAAAATATATAGGCCACCCATTCGTAATGGTCTTTTAACCACATCATTGCAGGTGTCCAGTAGTGTAGCAGAACACCTAGCTCACTCTCTTCAAGACTGTTCCAACATCCAGGAGATTTTCCAGACACTGTACTCCCATGGATCTGCTATCTCTGAAAGCAAAATCCGAGAATTTGAAGTAGAAACTGAGCGGCTAAACAGGTAAGATGAGAACTGTTATGTCCAAAGCAATTTAAAGTGGGTTTCACCTTTTAAATTTTATGCCAGAACTGAGAGGATTTGGACATAAAACTGGACCAAAAATATTTTCTCTGCCATACTGGTATATCTGTCCTTTGCGATCATTAACCAAGATGCTTCCTCAAGTACCTAATTATAATTTTGGAGAGTGGCTTCATAGGTGAGGGCCTTCCCCATTGTAATCAGCCAGTTAGGGCATGCTGGTCCCCACACTGATGACTTTTTAGATTCTGTCTATATTCATGTTTAAGCTCTATGTGTGTACCCTAATGCTTATTTTGTTGTATATATTGATGTGCTTAATTGTACTCCTTTTTACTTGTTAACTTTAATGTTTAATTTGTGTGTATGTGTGTGTTTATACACACAATGTTCTATGTGTTAATTCATACATCCTGCAGTTTTATGTCTCGATACTTAGTATTCACAGAGAAAAATTTTGTTGAGCAGCCAGTCAAAATATAATAAATAACTGGGTCATGGCCTTGCCTGTGGTATTGAAAAGCCAAGTGTAGGGTGTTGCTAGCACAGTAAATAAGATTTGCTTGCCAGAACAATTGGTACAGCAGCCTTCTGCAGTCTGGTGCCCACCAGATACCTTGACCTACATCTCCCATTGTTCTAGCCAGCATGGCCAGTTAGCATGCTAGCTGGGGAATGATGGGAGTTGTAGTCCAGTATATCTGGAGGGCACCAGGTTGCACTGTTTGATATTTAGCAACACTTTGAAGCCTGATTTTCAGTGCAAAAATCATTTAAATTACATGCGTTATTTATTTGTAGGAAACATTCTATATGTGTATGTAAGTATAGCACTGACTAGCAGGGGAAAATTCTGCATCTGAAAAACATATCATAAGAATCTTCTTCTTTCACTTGATTAACTTAACTTGTTATCTCCGGCATTTTGATTTGTGTAATTTATGCTTATGCCAGCTGCATACAAATGTGGGGAAATATGGTGATGAAAGGAAGAGCTTAATCTGAATTAATAGCTTTCTTTCAACAAGATAATTTAGTCATCAGCACTGGGCCATAAAGTGATTTGTTGGGATTTGCATATTATTCTGCAGGTCTTTGCAACAGCTGGTGTTGTCTCCTGAGGAACCTGAAACACAATTTTCAAAGTTGATTTGTATAGATCTGTATAATAATTTTAGCATAGATGAATAGGTGCTGCCAGAGTTGTGTTGACACCAGACTGCCCGGTGAACATTCAAAGTCTACAAATGATGTCAGAGAGGTGGTATCTCTGTGGCACTATAAGCAGAAACACACTGCAGACCAAGTAGTAAAGTTCTTTTCTGGCTGTCAATGCAGTAGCTGAATGCTATTTTAATTTAAATAGCTCCCTTAGCCTAGCAGAGACCTCAGCCAAAAGAGACTTCAGCCAATTAAGCCACCTTTGGGGTTGCATGGTCAATGAGGGCACTTGAGCATTGGGTCCTCGTTGTCCCATAAGAGAATATCTTAGATCTCACTGGACTGGATTTCACTTAAAATGATGTTTGCCTGTTGCTCATAAGTTGGTAGGCCCAACGTTTTTGTTCTCGGTGGATGCCAGCAGGCAACAGCCTAGCCAAGCCAGCACAGGAAGGCAAGCAGCCAGGAAGAGGCATGCCACCACCCTCAATGGTTGAAGGTTGTAAAGGCAGGCAGAGATGAAGGCTAGTCTTGCTATCCAACCGAAGGTGTGGGAGGAAGGTAATCAAACTTAAACATGGAATGGACAGCATAGAGTGGTAGCTAGTACAGGGGGTGTTAGAGCTGCTCAAATCTGGCAGTAGATCTGGGTGCTACTCCCATCTTTGTTCTTATGAAGCTAGGCTTTCCCATTGTGCCATTAGTCCATCGAGACGAAAATTGTCAACACGGACTGGCAGCTTCTCTCCAGGGTTTCAAATGTTAAGGGATTGCCATTGGACCAGGGATCCTCTGCACTTAGAGCTATGGTCCATACTATTTCTGTGGGAACAAGCAAGACATCATATTATACATAGGCACAAAGAAACAGTGTCCCAAATGGTTAATTTTTCTCCCATATTCATCTTCTTTTCTTGTCAACAACAACACATACAATTTATTGAAATGTTTTGAGATTTAAAAAATTAATGTTTTGAGATTTGACAGTATTCTGTATTGAGCATATATTCCAGTTTGGAAATCCTCAGATGAAATCTGGATGCCTGTGTAGATAACTTACTTGCATTCTTTAATGCAAAGAAAGAAGGAACTAGACTCCAGGGCAGTCCTCCGAACTTGGTGCCCCAACTTGGAGCAGCAGGCATTGTTCAAATCATAAGCTTGAGATAGTAATCTTCATTTTGATCCTGGTTTATTTTAACTAAACCACTATCTCCAGAGATTTACTTTAAACAAACCCTGAAACTTCTCCTATATGATAAAGGCACAGTTTAACATTTGCACTTGGCCTATGGGTTTTGGGGTTTTGATGTTACACTATGGCCTCTAGGAAGGTGCACAGACAGCTTTCATGCATGCAGTACAGCTTTCTACCATTTCCCCCTTACAACATCATCTTTCTTTCTTCTGGAAAAGCTCCTTTTGAAATTTTACCAATTTATACTAATCCAAGACAGTTTCAAAGCCAGTTTGAGACGCATCAAAGGGAAGGGGGCTGTATCAGCTCATACACGAAAGTAATTTTGGGCTCTCACCCTATATCCTGAAGAACTTCATTTCCTACCCAAAAGGCTGAGCTAAATGAATACTTGCATTTTCATATGATGAACTCTTGGGCAAAATAATTCAAAGTAATTTGAACAGAGAAGTGAGATGTAAGAAAAATCACACTTCCCATAAAGGTTGTCTGTGCAAGCAACATAACCACTTGGAGAATACGCAAGGCAATTAAGACCACAGCAGGCCATTTGTTGAAAGCTTAAAGTTGGTTTTCTCCTCTACAGCCGTATTGAACACTTGAAATCTCAGAATGATTTATTGACAATCACTCTGGAAGAGTGCAAGAGCAATGCTGAGAGAATGAGCATGTTGGTTGGAAAATATGAATCAAATGCCACGGCCCTCAGGCTCGCCTTGCAATACAGGTATGGCAACGGAAAAGACAAAATAAGTGAGTTGGTACATGTTCTTGTATGGGGCATTCTGATGTAAGAGACTGAAGTGTTTTGAATTGCACAAAACTTAACTGTCTTTTGCTCTTTGTCAGACTTCTCTTCCTTTGTACCAGTAGTGTTAGTACTCTATACTCAGCAAGGTAGTTTTCAAATCATAGTCTTTGGTGGAAACTACAAGAGGTTCAGTGGAGTAAATGAAGAATTATAAGTATATATCAAAATGCAATAAACAACCCCCACTTGTTCATCAAGTTTCTAAGTTTATTTTAAAAAAGAAAGCAAAATGATTAACAGATAATCAAAATTGAAATATTTTGGCAAAAATGTCAGCTTCAGGCACTACTAAGAATATATGGAAACACTACATATTTTAAAATCTGTTTAAGTTGTCCTTTAAAAAAATAAAACTGGTCATTCATTGTATAGAGAGGGATCTGTCACATGCATCACACTAGTTGGGTATCTGTTCATTTACAATCTGTATCAATGTTATTGGTGCTACAGACAGAAAAGTTGAGATGTGCACACCTTTAATAACTTTCTGTTCACATCACTGGATGTATGATGATATAAGCTGTAGGCCAAAACATCTAGAAAGCCACAAGCCATGAGTGTTAAGGAAGACCAAATGTTGCCAGCTTTAATAGTGGTTTTGGGAAAGTCCTTTCCTTCCCCTCCTGGAGTGACTTATATCCTGAGTGTAGAGCAAACCCCAGTCAATGAACTTCTTCAGTTAAACTTTTCTGGCTCTCAAAGTTCATGGGAACCAGTGACCCATCTTCGGCAGTGGTAACCTCTGATGCTCCACAGGAAATGTTGAAGGGACTTCAGGGGCAGAAAAAAACCTTTCTGACTGAGATGCTTCAGTTCAAAACTGAATGTGGACTGAAGCCAGGAGCACTGTAAAGTGGTTATGAATGATTGTGAACTATTGTAGAATGGTTGTGAACTATGTGAACGGTTATTTTGGGCTGATGTCTTATTATGAACTGTTTTCTAGAATGTCATATGTCTCATAGTTGAAAACTTACTCTAATTCTGCAGCCCAAATTATTACTATTTTTATATCCCATCTTTTATTTTTCAGGAAAGTGAGACAGTTTACACAGACCATTTTATCCTCACAAAAATGCTGCTAGGTAGGCTAGGCTGAGAAGCAGTGACTGGCTCAAAGCCACCCACTGAGTGACATTTATATCCTGCCTTTTCTTCCAAAGCACCCAAGGCAGCATACATTATTTTCTTCCTCTCTGTTTTATCTTTACAACAGGTAAAGATAACCTGTACAGGTAGGTTAGGTTGTAAGGTTAGGCTGAGAATGAGAGACCCAGTGTTACCTAGTGAGCTTTGTGACCAAATGTGGACTAGAACCTGGGCCTCCACACTCCAAGTTCAAGATTCTAACTAATACATCTCACTGGCTTTCATTAACATTCTCAATACTCAAACTATTAATGAACTGGTCACCATATCGTGACTGTAGTTTTCTATGTAACAGACAGAGAGGAAATCACAGAGTTACATGTATCATTTCCTGTTGCACAGTCTTTACCTCTATTGATTTATTTTCTTTTGAGATGAATGTATTGACTGGATTTCTCCATACTCCCTTACAGTGAACAGTGCATTGAAGCCTATGAGTTGCTCTTAGCATTGGCAGAAAGTGAACAGTCTCTCATTCTGGGACAATTCAGAGCTGCAGGTGTTGGGTCTGTTGGTAAGAGATTAATGAGTCATTTTCTTTCTAAATCCAGTTCTGTGCTTCACTGGCCATCCATCACCCTCAAAGGGCAGGTTACAACAGTGAATTATCTCATGACAGCTCAGGCAACCCCCACTAGTCAAGCAGGTTTTCTTTCAGTTACAACAGCTATGTAAAATTTTAATAAATGGATTTTGAAATAGAACTCAAGCAGAAAATAAGTCAGGATACCCAGTTAGCTGCAATACAAAAAAATTACTTTGAACATTAACAATATATTAAAAGTGGCAGTTTAGGCTCTTGACTCCAAACTCACAAACGGAGGTATTGAAAGTTAATTGAAGCAGGCCATGTAATTGGTATATGCATTTCCTGGAGAAAGAAATGCTCTTTAATTTTCATTCTGTCTATGTACCCTCCGAATTAAAAAATGCGTAATTCAAAGCCCAGTTGACTCAACTGTGTGGTTTTCAGTAGCCTTAATGGATGGTGAACTGGCTCTTGTCTACAAAGAAGTAGTTAGCATTCAGGCTTAGGGCTAGGGCTTGGGTGCTACATCTTTCAATAGCTGTCATCTTTTTTGAGGGGTTACATTTATGCAATTCTCTCTGTGTGTTTTTGTTAAAGTTCTCCTTGGTTTTTGCAGAGCCTTGCCTTTCAGTCCTGTATATATCAGTCTCAGAAACTTGAGCTGTGGGGGAGTTGTGTACACAAGAAAAAGCAAATGAGTTCATCTACAGTGTATAAGCTGCCCTTGTGTTACATGTTTTGATCTAGTTTTAGTGCTATGAATCAGTGTTTTGGATAATAACATTCTCTAAATATATTCCTATATATCAAGAGGAAAAATTACAAAGAGATGTTTTTGTTGTTTTTGAGATTAAAATGTGTGATTTCACCATGGAAGTATGCCTATTTGTTTTACAGTAGTCATTTTCAGTTCACTAGAGTGACAGTGTGGTGTTTGAAGGGTGAAAGCCAGTGCTGTAATGTCAGGAGGCAGATTCTGGATATCAACATCCCCCACTTCCTTCAACAGCTTCCAGGGGCTCCCAACCACCACCACACAGGGTTGGGAGGGTCTCCAGAATGGGACTGAGTTCTGACACATTCACACACGCACACACCTGCACACATGCAGATCCCTGCTTTCAGAACATGCTGCTGCCTGCTTTGCGGGGGATTCCACCCATTCCATTGGGGAGGGTTGTCTGACCCTCTATGTGGCATTTCAAGAGACTTGATGGAGCTTTTGGAAGAAGTTGGGGATAAAGAAGTTTGTTTCCAGGAGTGCTTTTCTGTCAGGACAACAAATCCGGGTTGTAGAAGACAGGGCATCATTTAGGCATAGAAAAAATATAGATTTCCAGGCTGTGCTATGACTTGGAAACAGCCTGTCTTAAAATAAAATTTATAGCACTGGTTTCTCAAGAGCCACTGAAATATAATGTGAAAGCATTTAAGGATCAAGCTGCCAGCTGGCTCCAGAGTTACAAGATGGATTGGTTTTTACCCCCTTGTTTCAGAAAACTAAAATCAATGGACTTGGCATATTTTTTTAATATTTATAGGATTTTAAAAGAGCATTGCTTCTTTAACAACAAATAAGATGTAGATAAATATTGTTAATGGAAATAATTTAAAATAATTAAAAGATACAAACAGCAATAAAATATTGGAGCAGTCATCAGCCTAATTAAAAAAAAATAAGCATTTTCTCAGTGACTCACTGGAAAGACGTGACTGGGCAAGAAAGCATGTAGGCGAAGTCATAGCAGGTATGCCTGGGAATATAGTTCTGGCTTTTTGCAGCCCACAGTGGCAGAGGTTTGCAAAAGAAAAACTGTGTTATGCCTTTTGTATTATGAGTATGCATATACATCATATGAAAATCTATAGCGGGAATTTGTTTTCTCTCTGTGCAGGTTACACAAGAGAGGTGTAATTCACATTTATATATGTGAACAATATTTTTATTTTGTATTTTTCTCTCATTCTGAAATAGATTTCTCAGTATTTTTGTCATAAACTGTGTTTTTCTGGAGACCACTGTAAAACATCATTATGAAATTCATAGTTTATTTTTAATGTTAAAATGTGCCAGCGACAACTCTGCACAAGACAGTGCGTATGCGTGCAGAGGCACACACACACATCATACAATATGATAAAACAAAAATGATTAAGCAGAGCAATTCTCAGCAACAGATCATAAAAAGTAGTTTATTTCAGCTACTGAAGCAATTTGAGCAGGTGGATGGCGTTTAAAGGGCTAGGTAAATTTGTTCTGCTTGAAGTGATAATGCAGGGAGCAGTATATAACAAAATAGCCTGCACTGGGATATTCTAGGGAGAGCCACAATATGGTTCTTAGGCATGCATGTGCAATTCTGTATGTGTGCCATGGAGCCTTGCTTTTTTCTACAGATCTTAGTTGCTTCAAAATTCCACCGTTTTTACTCTGAGAGTAGGTTGTCAGACAGTGGAAGGTGCTGTTTTGAAATGGGTGAAGAAAAGTTAGAAGCCATGCTTTGCATGGGTAGTTTATCTTGGAATCATTTAGTCTATCTATCTATCATCCTAATGTATTTTATCAGACTACTAAGTAGGTGTTAATGTCCTAATGGGAGCACAGCACAGATGTCAGCCTAAAAGCCCACCCAGTCCTATGACTGCACATTCTCCCCTTCACTACTCCAAAGCTCTGTTCATTTGCTTGCCAACAGGGGACCAGACAGGTGATGAAAACATCACCCAAATGCTTAAAAGAGCCCACGACTGCAGGAAGACGGCAGAGAATGCAGCCAAAGCCCTGCTGATGAAGTTGGATGGTAGCTGTGGAGGAGCCTATGCAGTCACAGGTTGCAGTGTGCAGCCCTGGGAGAGCCTGTCGTCTAACAGTCACACCAGGTAACCGTGGCTCACTGAAAGAGTCAGTCACTCTCCTGACCTTTGGTGCTGTTGCAACAAAATAGACTGTACTGTTTTCATTTCTTTATCTATTTTATCCATCTCCAAATCAGCCTGCTGGGTTGTCTTTGGTATCATAAATGGCTTCACTGTCTCAGTGGCTGGATTCTGTTCAGAGTTCCACAGGCACCACACAAAAAGAGTTTTGTATAGATTTGCTGCATGTGAGCGATTCTGATCGATTTCACAAAGAGTAATCCTCTTGTTATTTGTTTTACTTCAATGACTTCTCTGTCTTTCTTTTATTTTTCAACCCATCTTATCACTGAAGTTTAAGGCATATACTTCTTGTTCATGTTATATGAAATCTCTACAGATCTCAAACAAACTTGGGAAGTTCTTTCTAACATTTGCAGTTAATTGCATAAACAAAGTCATTTGGTGTTGAAGAAAAGATGTAAGGATTGGACAAGAAGGAAGGCACTTGTGTGAAGGAGGAAGCAGTGGGGAAAGAAACATGAAAAAAATCCCAAGTGCCAGTGATAAATGTTTTATTATCACCTTATGTGTTTCAGAAATGTGGAGTTCCTTCTTCAGGGACTACAGAAAAAATGCAAGCATACTCTGTTTTTCTCTCAGTGTTTGCGGGTGGGGGAGGGAAGCAAAAACAGTACACCCAAATCTTTTCTTGCACCAAGTAGATGAAGAGATTTTGGAGGTCAGACTTCATTTAGACATTTCAGATACTGAACTTACCCTTAAAACTATTTCAGGCATAGGCATGTTTAGATTTAAAAAAATATACACTTCTCACATTCTCTGCCCTTAATCCATTAAACACCTCACAAATATTTTCATCTAAATATACTCACTCATCAGTGATGAACTTGCCTCTCTGAAGGTGAGGAGCAGAACTCCAGTTTTACTTCCTTAGAACTGAAATTTATAATCATTTTGTACTTGTTTATAAAGTACAAAATTATAAAGCTTGCACATTTGGAACATATTTTTCTGTATGATTGCTTGGTTAGCTTACGTGAATAATATAAAGTATTCATTTATAGTCTCACCTCTCTTTGGAGCCTCAGGCAATGTCCATAATTTTCCTAGGTTGTCTCCCATCCAGAGCTGCTTAGCTTTAGTAAAGTGTCTACATTATGTGCTCTAGGACTGAAGGATCAATACTTGATGGCTGCAAATGTTCAGCACTGAACAGTACATCTGTGAGGAGTCTTTTAGACTCCTTGGTTTTGTCTGCCAAGTTGTGTTCAGATAGTGTAACTCAAAATGGTGGATGGAGCTCCTTTTGCAAACTTGTAAAGGAAGCAGAGGGAGGAAAAGTCTTTCTCCTTGGCAAGGACTTTTCATGTCAAAGTGAATAATTTCCTCTGCCATTTGAAGCTCCTCAGAATGGGAGTTTGTAATGGAAGTGTTGACCCAGACTTAACTTCAGCATCAGGAATGAGTTGCTGAATGTCAAATTGCACAACGCATTACTAGGAACAAATGCACAGGCAGCCACGGTGGCAAGGGGTTAAAGACGGTAAAAGGGAGCGACCACAACGAAACGAAAAAAGCACAGAGGCTGCTGTTACTAGTGAAGTGAATAAAAAATAATAGCTAGCATTTCAATTTGTTGGGCTGGCAGCAACCCAGCATGACTGCCAATTTTTTTTGTGAAGATAGGAATTCTTTAATGGAAAAAGCCTTGCCATGGAGCATGCACCTAGAAGGTGCAATTGGCTGCATTTAAAAAAAGGAAGAGGTATTGGTCTTTTGTATTGAGAAGGTGCTGTTCCATATGTAGATATAACAAAGTGTCAGGGTGGCACCTTAAAGAGGAACACATTTGCTTTTGTGGACTAGTGTCCACTTCATCAAATTCATGAAGTTACTTTAACCTATAGAAAACCTATTTTATATATATATACACATTTATTAATCTTAAAGTACAAGAAACTTGGTTAACTTCCTTGCAGTAGAGTATAACCACCCTTCTGAATATTGCTTGATACATACTATTCTGAATTAAATTTCAACCTTGTATTCAAATACAGAAAGTTAGTATTACCCAGTACATACTAGGTCAGGAGTGAAAAATGTGTGTCCGTGCAGATATTTTGGCCTCCAAAATCATCAGCCCTTGGCCACACAGCCAGTGGAGAGGGAAGATGGGAATTATAGGCCAAAACATCTGGATGGCCACAAGTTGCACCTGTGTTAGAGGAAGAACATCTAATGGCATGCAAGCAGAGGGCAGACTAGCACGCAGTTCTGCTGAAACTTAAATCCAGCCTCCCAGATCAGTGAGTGTGTGGAGTCAGCTCCTTGTTGCACTGTGACCATAAGAGAGGCTAAGTGCACAGTTGGTCTTGGCATAGCCTTTGGAGACGCTCCATCGCATGCAACAAGGTGTTCATTAGCACATGCCATGAGGTATGCCCAGGTCCAAGGCTGTTTCTCTTAGGGTGGGGGAGGGTTAGGGTTAGGGTTATTGTGTTAAAGTTTTATTGTGTGGGGCTTTGCCATCCTTAACTGTGAATTGCAAATTCATTAGATGGCATTTCAGGTAACTGGGCTGGCAGATCTAGATAATAGAGCATGGTCACCATCTAGGGCAGCCTTCCCTAGTCTGTTGCTCTCTGGGTGTGTTGTATAAGTGCCATCATCCCCACCCACCGTGGCCATTAACCATCATGTCAGGAGATTATGGAGCTTACATTCAAGCATATCTGTAGAATAACAGGTTACTAGAGGCTGACCTTCTGCATCAGTGCACTGGTAGTTAGTTTCTGGATAGTGACTGTGCACCAGCCTATTTTGCTGCTTGTGTGCCCTGGTTAGCATGCAGCCTCATAAATCCATGGCCTTTTTCTCATCAGAGGTGCAAGAATTCCTTGCTAATCTGCAGATACCCACAAAGGATGCTTTCCACCAACCATGTCTGGTGCAAGGGAACTGTGCTGGTGTTTCCTGGGTTATGTTCAGGGCTGTATTTATTAAAGAAGGAATCAAGCCACATTTGAACTTATTCATGAGCAACATTTACAAGTCTGGTGTATTTGGTAAGCTCTAGGCCATGGGTCCTCAAACTACGGCCTGGGGGCCTGATCTGGCCCACCATGGCCGTTTATCCAGCCCGCCTCAGAGGTTTTCAACGCGCCATGCATGTGCCCGCCTTGCCCCCCGCCCCCACGCGCAGGGAGGCAGCAGTGGCGGCTTTCTCGCAAGGAGATCATTTTGGACTCACTTGACGAAAACGATCTCCAAGCAAGCAAACTGCTGTATTGCGCGCCCGCCACTGCATCATGGCATGTGCCTGCCCCCGCCTTGCCTCGCCTCCCCTTGCCACGCCCGCACGCCTCACCCCCCCACACCTCAGCACCGGCATGCGCCGCCCCTGCCCCCTCGCCAGCCCACACCCAGTACCGGCACGTTTCAACTGGCCCCCTGGTGAAAAAGTTTGAGGACTCCTGCTCTAGGCAAAGAGATACAACAAAAATTGTCCTCCATTACATTGAGCATTTGTTGATACGTCCATTTGCCAAAGTGTACTTCTTCATGGGGTTCAAGATGGAAGGATGCCATCTGGGAATGAATGAAACAAGAAAGTGGCAGGGTATCAGCCTCATCTTGATCTTCTGTTCCACTGTAACCCAAAATCTCAAGGTTGATTAACTACTCCATTGTGTAAGAAGTTGTTTGTATGTCACAGCCATAATTTCTCAGTTGTTTAAGCCAGGAATTTCTGGGAATGAGTAGAGCATCCAAGTTGCAGAAAAGCCATTTCCTAGGTTCCAACAACAAACCATGAACACTTGTTGGGTTAGCCTATAAACAACCCCAGATTTATCAGGTGAGGACGTCATTAAATAACCCAGGAATTGCCATTGTGGTATATGAAATGGCTTTAAGAGTCCAGTTTGATGTTAGTTGGGCAGTAGCAACTGAAATTTTCAATACTTCTGTATTTAGAATAATTTTAAACTGCTGACCAGAATTAAATCTACATGAGCACTATTGAAATTGAATGGTTGAATGAATGTGAAGAAAGGCTTTGGAAGCTTGGGAATGAATATGTGAGGGGTTTGTGATCTGTGTTTTCATGTCCCACCACCTCTCAAATAATTTTGAAATCCTTTTGAAAGAAAAGGAATAATGGAAGCTTTATTGAAATCTGTACATTCTTTAGGAGGGATAGTTAGCTGCAATGGGGATTTAAGGGGAAAACAGTAAAATTATTTGTTTGCTGGTTCTTTACAAGGCACCTCCTGGTATGCCTAGGGGAGAGAAAGGAACAGTTGAAATTAGCAAAAAGCTGCAATTTAAAACCATGTAATATGATACTTCATGGAAAGGGGTAGCTAAGGGAAGGCTTTGTATCCTAGCCAGCTCTGCATGTTTCTCTTGGACCGCAGCATGCTTAGAAGCCTCCACAGGATTGACTAGCAGTTTATCTGACGCACTTCTTTAAAATCTAAGGTAGTTTTGAGCTCAACTATAGGACAAGAATGGAAAGGGAGAACCCAGAGCCTGCTTTCATCCTTTGAAAACATGGTTATAGAAACAACGCACTGCGTGTGTGTTTTCTTTTCCTAAACCCTTTGTCCAAAAAAAGAAAGGAAGAAAGATAGGAAAATATTACAACCCGGTGCAGAAAGTGATTTATTCCCCTGCTGATAACTGAGATCATCCAGCATTCCAGACAGGCACAGCTAATGGATGACTTAACCCTCACCCAGCAGCTGATTACAGGTCCTCCGGAGACAGCAGGCAGCTTTGTCTTTGTGCGAGGTTGCAGAAAGTGCAGGGTTGTATCTATCCCTTTTTAGTGGCGTTGTAATTATGTTCAAGAGGGGAATGTTACGGAATGGGTAGCAGCATTACCGCTAGCTTCTACAAATCTCTCTTCTTCAGAAGGCCGGAATAGTAGATAAACAGAAATGAAGCCAGATTTAACATACGAACTGTATAATATATATAACTTTATTTTTTTTAATTGTGTGTGACTCAGGATTGAACTGTCTGGCTTCTTTCATTCCCTGTCCATGTCCCCCAATGTGAAATTGTTCTCTGTGGGTGGGAATGTTGCATAAGAACAAGAGATGTATTTTTCATTAGCTGGTTAAGTTCTATCAGCAGTTGCTAATGTGTGGTGGACACAGCACAAAGGCGGGTTTTTAAACGGTGGCCACAGCTTGAAGCCTGTGATCAAGCCACGCCATGGAATCCCTGTTCTGCAGGGATACTGAATGTCTCAGTCATAATGGAACAGTAATTCAGAACATGTGCAGAGGTATTTTTGCCTTTAAAGGCACTTCGCATTGCTTTGGTACTCTTCCATTGCATGAATTTCCATGGACTTAGTCTGTAGATGCAGCAGAATGAGATGGTGGAAATTTGAAGAGGTGCAAGTAAGCATTTTTACACAATGAGCATTTTAAGAATAGAGTCTGAAATGGTACAATCCATTTTTGTACCTTGTTCTGCTGCTTTTATTGTCTGTGCTTATTTCTAGAACTGGGGTTTCTACGATGGTTTGTGCTTTGTTTTGGTGTGGTGTATGTTTTGCCTGGGATTTTATGTGGACCCATCTCTGTGCGTGTTGTCTGGGGTTTTTTGTATGAGAATCGGGTGTGTTGCCTGAGCTCTAACCTTCCCTTCCCTTCCCTTCCTTTTCTTTGGGGTGGGGTGGGGTGGGGGTGGGGTGGTATAGGTGTTTTGGCTGTGAGTGGGGGGATGTTTCTCTGAGGCTCATCAATTTTCTTTCTGTAAAATGGTAGCATTGTTGAGCTTTAGAGTGACAAATATATGATTTGACATCTGGGGCTCCTCCTTTTGCCTAGCACTCAGTTCCTTGAGCAAGTCACTTGTCTCAGACCTTCACCAGTGCGTCTTCCAATGCAATAGGAGCTTGAGCAGAAAACTGGATTTAAAAGAGAGATTTTGTGATTTTGAAGTCAGTTTACATGTCTGTCTTTTACTTGGCAGGGGGAGGAGTTCCCTTACTGCAAATTAGACTATCCACTGAGCTTGGACTGTGTACTCTGTCTGAAGGGTTCTCCATGGTCTTGATAACTACAGGAGAGATTTCTCTTGCATTGCTAGTTTAGGAGTGGGTGTCTCATAATAACAAAGGAGACTTTTCTAGATGTCTGCCTTTAGTGCTTCCAGACAGAAGGCTCCTAGCACCACCAACTGGAAAGTGTTGTGCAGCTATTCCACCTTTTTCTCCTTAATTGATTTTCTCTGTAAAGGAAAAGAAAAACCCAATACTTGTGGTTGGGAAATATGGGAAGTCCATCAGTGAAAGTCATGCCGCTGCACTGATTTAAAATTCCTTGATTGAAATAGGGTAATGAAAGCCTCATCTGTAAGCACCTTTTGAGTTTGAGAAGCTGTGTTTTTGTTCCTTTGCTTTAGTTTTCATGCACTAGAAGATTTCAACACTATTTGGAAATTCCATTCCCTAAATATTCTTTCTTCTCTTAAGTACTACTAGTTCAACAGCAAGTAGTTGTGATACTGAGTTCACAAAGGAGGATGAACAAAGATTGAAGGACTACATTCAGCAGCTGAAGAATGACAGGGCGGCTGTTAAGCTGACCATGTTGGAGCTGGAGAGCATCCATATTGATCCTCTCAGTTACGATGCCAAGCCTCGAGGAGACAGCCAAAGGCTAGATTTGGAAAATGCTGTACTCATGCAGGAACTTATGGCAATGAAGGTATTCCTTTTAATGACTTATGAATAAAGGCATTTTGGCTTCTAGTTTTAAAATGCAGCTGCAGTGTTTCTTTTATCTGAAAAGTATTTTAATTTTTAACTTTAAATTTAAAAAAGCTGATCTGGAAGATTTGGAGTAGTCTCTTCAAAGAAAAAGGCCTGAAGTATGAAATCCAGTGTGCTGTGCTTTATTTATTTCATGTATTTGATGGTAGCTGAATATTAGGTGGGACAGCATTATTTGCCACTGTGTGCAGATTGTACCTCTGTTATGCAGAATTCTGTGAAATAGCAGCCTTGCTTGATCCCATTTCCTCCTTTCAACAGGAGGAAATGGCAGAGCTGAAAGCCCAGCTGTACTTGCTAGAAAAAGAGAAGAAAGCCCTAGAGCTGAAGCTGAGCAGTCGAGAAGCTCAAGAACAAGCATATCTAGTCCACATTGAGCACCTGAAATCAGAAGTGGAAGAGCAAAAGGAGCAGAGAATGAGATCCCTCAGCTCAGCCAGCTGCAGCAGCAAAGACAAGTCAAATAAGGTGAGGAGTTGTTGTAGATTTACAGGTGAGAACTAATTAGGACTTCTTTGTTCAGAGGCAGTATCTGTCTGACTACTAAATGCTGTGAGGGGAGCATCCCAAATTCTTGGTGGTGCAAGGGGTGGGGTTGCTTTCATGTGCTGCTTGTGGCTTCCCAGAGACATTTGTCTGGCTACTGCTGGAAACAGGACACTAGCATGAATGGATGTGTCCTCTCATCCAGCACAGCCCTTACCGTCTTGTTCTGTTTGCCCATCACATCCATTCATTTAGTTCCAGTTACTGCGAAGTACTGCTGCCTGCTAATCTTACCCTGAATTTATTGAAGGTGTGGAATGTTGACAGGGCAGGAGGGAGGGAGATTTCATCAGCCCATAAATAGATTAGGTCTCTTTGGGATTTATTTCATCATATTGACAGACTGGGAAGGTTACCATGAATGAAATTTCTCTGCTCACCTGTGCCCTCTGGTGGCCTCTATTAAGAGAAATACTGCAAGAACATTTGAGGAATAATTGCCCTTGGAACACACTATTCCCTTATGTGCAACATTCCAGAATCCTTGCAAATGAGTTGATAGACTCATGGCACAGCGTTCTGCTGCTGCTGCTGGAGCCACCCGGGAGCACCTGGTATTGCAAGATTGTCAGGCAGTGGGTGTTGCTTTGTTTCTCTGACAAGCCCCAGTGTGTCTATGGTAGTTTGGGCCTGCCATGAGCTACAGAAACTTGCTCATATGATGTGAATGTTGCTGTTTGAATTCAAAGCCGAGCTCTACCCAAATGCGGTTAGAGTAGCCTGCCAAGCTGCGAATGAAACGATCTAAAAGCAGCTTGTTGAGAAGGGGGTGGCATCTTAAGAAAGGCTGTCTAACCTCAGACTACTGTTTGCTGATGCTAATGAGAAAGTAGGATTCTGAAAGCTGGTGTGTGGTCATGCATATTTGCCCTAGAGAAGAAGAACCATGCATGGTAAAGGTGAGGGGAAGAAACAAATCTCTGACAGCTGAAAAAGTAACATCATAATGCTAGCTGATTTTGGAAATCATTTTGAATGCACAGTTGTCCACAGCTTCTTAGAATAAGATCGTTTATATATGTAAGCTGGGCGGGGGGGGGGGGGGGCAATCAGGCAGGCCAAGGATTTTCTCAAGGGCAGTAATTGGGAAGGCTTGCCAGAAGGGAAGGGATCCATCCTCACTCCCACCAGTGCGAGGCAGCCAACCTAGTGCCGTAGCCTCAATCTGCTGGAATGCCCTGGCCCCTGAGGCTGGCATGGATTTGCACAGGGTGGGTGATGGCAGGGGGCAGTCATCCCCCTCCCCTATGGCCCTTTCCCTTTCTGTGCCTCCTACAAACCACACATACCTCTTGTTGTTCTTGCTGCTACCACTGCTGCAGCTTGCACTGAAAGAAAGGAGAAGCTTACAAAAGAGCCTCTTTTCTGCCAGAGTGGCTGAGAAAATGGCACTGCCTTTCCCCAGAGCTGGTCCAAAGCTCTGCGGGGGTAACAATGAGTGGTGGACTGCAAAAGAAATAGGGAGAAAGAGAAGCATATGTATTATGGGGAGTCTGAACAGGTATATATTGATGTATGAATCAAAAGGGGTGGTAAATAAATCTGGAGAGAGAGTGTTAAGTGAATGGGTTATATGAACAGTGAATATATAGGAGTGAAAGGGAAATTTAAAATATGTCAGGTTTTTTTGCAATCCTCCCTTGTCTTGCTTTATTTTTCAGGAGTGCACAGATGGTACCACAGCATCATTAACACTAGCTGAGCTGAAACCCTACAGTGAAAGTGAACTGACTACAGAACTGGCAAATGCACTCAGGCGGTAAGCTAGATACACTCCTTCATAAAGGGGAGAGGTACTGATAAATCTGTAATTTAATTCTGGGCTTTAAATCAGTCAAAAGCTAAGTGATCGCACTGCTTTGCTCTTTTAGAGTTTCCTGCATATTCCTTTCCTTTTAGTGCTTACCATTACAGACCTTTAGTATCTTCCAATATTTATAGATCAGTAGCTTAAGTATTATTGCTGATTCCTAGATCACAGATCCTAAGACACGGAGTAGCTAAGTTAATGAAAGGCCACTAGGGAGACAGGTGGCAAGTTTAGGAATAGCATCAATCTCATCACATGTGTCATCTCAGGAATATTAAATTCTCACAAGAAGAGGAATCCTAATTTGATATTAATGATAATAACAGGAAACAGCTACAGAAAAGGAGTATATCTATAGAAGGATTAACTGGACAAAGCTCTTCATTGTGTCATCCCTACACACAAGCCTGGAGGAATGCCCCAACTGCAATCTGCATTCATGTACAACTTTCTCTGAATATTTCCTTCACACACTTAAAAAAATGAATGTAACAGCATTGTTTTACTTGTTCTTCGGTAAAGAGCGACCTGTTTCATTAATAGTGGATTATAACAGTGTTTCAGAGTGTTTCCAAGAGGCAAGCGGCCAAAGATATGCAATTTTAGGAATTATTTTTTAAAATGAGAGAACTCAGACAGTGGGGTAGTTCATGTGACGACAGCCTGCCCTAGGTTAATTTCTGCACAGGAGGGTTTGTATTATGAGAAATATTATTTTGCTTGGTGCCTGTGGGCATCCAGTTTGCTGTGGGTGGTCATGAGATGGGAACCCAGGCTGCAGGGTGTGTTTCAAGGGTAGACAACCCTCCAACAACCCTAAAATAACCCATAGGTTATTGGAGGATTGTCTCTTGCTAGACTTGCACAACAGGACAAGCCACAGCAAGCTGGGTGCTCATGGCTAAGCTGCTTCCTTAAAGACAAATGAAGACATGGTGAGCTGTTGTGTCATGCAAACCAGGTCAAAGAGCCACTGCCAAGGTTTGATGACACTGCATTTAATAAACTATATCAGACATAAGATGAAGGTGGCCACACATTTAAAGTAGCAAGATCTCATAGCATTCAGACAGGAAACTTTAAAGAACACAAACATGAAATTGCTGAACCATTTTATCATTAAAATCAGGCTACCCTGGCACACTCTCCAGTGTGACATAAGTTTTTAAAAAGGTATCCAGGACATGACAGCCTTGGCAGCCTAACATCCTCAGGTAAATTGATAGAAGGGGTTATTGAAGATACACTTGTTAAATAATGGGTGAAGAAAGGCAAACCATAACAGAAATAAGTTTCAAAGCACATTATTCAGCTGTCCCGTGAGATCTTCCAGCTCTGCCTTCTGGAATTCTGGTTCAAACATCTCCATCTCACTGTCCTGCATTCACCAACTGCCATCTCCAGCTGGCGAAAGTTAACAAAATAGATGAATGTCTGAGATGAAAGTTTAACTTCCTCCTGTCTCACATCCCCAACAGGAGTGAGGGAGTGAGCAGATAAGACTGGTGAGCTTGAACCAACCTTAGGCATCTGTCCCTCCTTCTCCTAGATGGGCATGCCCTCCCATCACCGCCATAACGCCCCTTTCCTGTCACCACCTGAATGGCTGCTCCCCTAGACTCACCTCCTACATAGCTGAATGACCCCCCCCCAAAAAAAAACCCAGCCTCCGGGCACACTACACCAACCAGGAACCACACAGGCAGGTCCTCCCAGGCTCCTCATGGGCTCTGGGGAAGAAAAAAGGTCCTGGGCAAGCCCTGCCCCCAGCAGCCAGGTGTCAGCAGGGGCAGTGCTGTCTCTTTCCACTCCAGCTGCAGCCTCTCACGCTGCAGCTAAGCGAGGGGGGAAGGCAAGGTGAGCTTCAGCTCTCGGGGTTCAGCAGAGTGGCAGCAAGCACAGTGGTCGGCGCAGTGTCAGCACTAAACAGGCAGGCCTTGCCTGCGCCAGCCCAGTTTCTGCCACAAACTGGGTCAGTCCAGATGGAAAAGGAAGGCAGCGGGCAGCCACAGTGGCATAGCAGGAGCGGTTCAGCAAGGCCAGCAGGCAGGGTCCCAGCAAGAGCAGGCAGGCGGAGCAGGCAGGTGGCGAGTGCGGACGGAAAGGACAGTAGTGCAGAATGGGAGGAAGCACGGGACAAAAAACTCTAAAATTATCGGTGTTCAAACATCTTTTGTAAGGAAAGGTTAAAGAGCTTGGTCTTTCATATGGTGGCAGAAAGAGTGTAAGAAAGATATATACAGCTATGAACTTTTTCTAGGTGATGCAGAATTTTTTGCTCTCTCATAACACTAGACTCAGAACAAATTGAGTATTTCACTGTAAGTATGTAATCAGAAAATAATGTAGGGGTTTCTTTTCCACAAGATGTTATGACAACCATTAATTTAAGTGACCTTGAAAAAGGGCTAATATGAATTCATGGAGGGGTTAATCTTACCAGTGGTTGCTATGTATGGTAACTAAAAATTAAGCCACTGCATTTAGAATCAGTATGCCTCTGATTATCAGGCGCTGCAACAAACGCAAGTGGCTATGCCCATCACGGACTGTCAGCCAGAGGCTTTTGGTCTATGACTGTTGGAGACTGTATTCTGCATAAGTGAGAATTTGGACTGCCCTAGCAAGATAGCTACTACTTCTAAAATGTCATCAAAGTGCAAGATCCCTTGCTAGGATGAGCAAACACATCACAATGCGTATTCAAAAGAACTGTGTGGCAAACTTTCAATAACAGATAGGCATGGGATAGAATTGATAGAACATTTTTCTCTGTTTTAAAATTATGCATAATTGAAATCATGGAGGTTTGAGTTCTCTTGCACATAAGACAACCCATCCCATATTCTAAAACACCACTGAACAATACGCAGACATTCTGCAGGTATTAGTAAACAGTTTTAAGCAAATTTATAGAGGGTCAATATCAGGCATAGTTAACTATCAAAAACATTTGTTTATTAAGGATGATAGTTGGAGAGTCACCGGCAAGGAAGCTAGGACATTCTGCAGACTCCTCCCCAGGTTTTTGCCATTACATTTCTAACAGGGAGGCTGGCAGCTGCAGGCCTCTTCATTTTGAAGCAAGTCTAGCAGAGTCGGGGAGCCTACCTGCTGTTTAGTCTGCGAATCTCTGAACATCACCAATTTGCCTTTTGTTGAAATGAAGATGTTGCAGTTCTTCAAAGGGGCAAATACATGATTTGGCATTTGGGCCTCAGATTCAGCTTCTGTCTTGTACTCAGTTTCTTGACTGTGACTAGTCTCTGAGCCTCACCAATTTTTGTCTTCTGCAAAATGGATGTTACAGAAGTGCAGACCCATGCACTCTACTTTATACTTAAATTTTTGGGTAAATTACCTTTAACCTTATAAGTTTGTCTTCTGGAAAATGAGTGTATTGTGACACCATCCACAACATGGGTCCTCAAACTAAGGCCCGCGGGCCGGATTCGGCCCATCATGCCCTTTTAACTGGCCTGCCCCACAGGTTTTGCACTCGCTGGGCACCTGCGTGGCTTGCTCATGAGGAGGTCATTTTGGAAACACTTGGAGAAAACGATCTCCTCACAAGAAAGTCGGCGCCTCGCCTGGTGGCAGCTTGTTCACAGGAAGATCGTTTTGGACTTGCTCAGAAACGAACTCATGAGCAAGCAGGCGCCTCACCCCACGCCTCCCCCGTCTCTCCCTCCCCTTGCATGTGTGCGTGCGCGCCCCGCCCCCACACCGGCATGCTCCTCCCTGCCAGCACCGCCTTGGCGGCCTGTGGCCACCACTGGCACCTGTCAACTGGCCCCCTGTTCAAAAAGTTTGAGGACCCCTGATCCACAACATTAATCTAGATGTCAAAGGTGCCTGGCAGCCTAAAAGGATTGGCGACCATGTTCTCCACATAACTACCTGGGGCCTCTTGTTTGATGCTCTTTCATGAAATGGAAAAATACTAGTTAAAAAGATACTGTTTTATTTGCTGGCTAAAGCGAAATACTGTTTCATTTGCTGGCTCACTACCACATTTTTAGTATGGTAGGCAGAAAATAGAGATTTGTGTTCTGGTTTACTGCACAGCCTGGGAAAATGTCTTAGTAAAATATTCACTAGAATTAGAGAATTTCCTCTAGTGTGATTTTTATTAGAAATCAAGCCCTGCCTGAATATTCTTGTGCTATTATTTTAAAAATGATAATTTCCCACCTAATTTTAAGTAAACTGTATGTAGTAACATTGCTGAGTGTTTCCTGGAAGTATAAAAAGTGTGTGTGTGTATACCTGCACATTATGGACAAGATTGATGTGCTTTCCTAAGTGAAAAATACTTCAGCAGAAAAATAAAATGACTGAAGGAGCCTTATGCTCTTGAATAGCCTTTTTTGTATATTTTCCTTATCACCCATAATGCTGACCATTTTTTTTATTCTCTTTGCCAGCCTAACAATAAAAAGTTCTCTGGGTAGATAGCATGACTTCTCTTTTGCCTTTTGAACTTCATCCTTAATAAATTCACCAAGACGTCAGGCAGACTTACAGCATTGAGTCCACAGGGAAGAGAAGATGAGAGAAATGTCCTGTAGAGAACAGTCATACACCAGCAGAGCAGAGGATAAGATGACCTAATAGAGGTTTGGGGGTGGGGGCGTCTCAGATTTCTAGGAGTCTATTAAAATTGGATGAGAACAAGGGAGGGATTTAAATTCTTTGTGATGCCTTTGAAACTGAAAGGACTGAGAAAGTGTGCTTTCCTTTCACTGTTCAGTGTGTCCGTGTGTATCTGTGTTATAATGTCGAAACTAATTTTTAAAAAACACATTTAATGCTGTAAACAATTGCTATGTTTAGCAGTAGTGAACGCAAGGGTATTTGGCTTCTGTTCTCCAGTTCAGATCTAGAACAGATGAAAACCATTTCACCTGAAGATTGTTCTGGGACTTGCAAGAAGTAAGCAAACAGAT